CAGACAGAAAATCACTCCAGAGAGCTGAATAATAAAAACCTTTAAGAACAGGTGAGGATGGACAGGAAGTGAGCGTCTCACCATCTGGAGCTCCGTCACACACCACCAGGTCGGCCGGCTGACCCTCAAAGTGACGGATGATTTCCTGAGCTGTCGACACCTGACAGGAAGAAGAAGAAGAAGAAGAAGACACACATGTGACATGGTGGTGGTTATTGTTATTGTTGTTGTATTTGTTCTCTGGGTTCAATGGGTCCTTGAACCTCCTTGAGGACCACTAGAACCTTTTTAAGGCTAACTTGAAACTCCTCAAGGATCTTAAAACCAACAGAGCCTCATCAAGGACCACAGGAACCTTTGCTAGGATAACTAGAACCTTGTCAAGGACTCATAGAAACGCCTCAAGGACCACTGGGACCTCATCAAGGGCCCACAGATCCTCTTAAAACCAATAGATTCTCCTCAAAGACCATGAAAACTGTAACAGGAACCACTAGAACCTTTTAATAATGACCAGAAACTCCATAAAGATCTGAAAACCAACAGAACCTCCTTAAGGACCACCGGAACACTTACAAGGACCACAGCCACATTTACAAGGATATCTTGATCCTTGTTAAGACTCATTGAACTGTGAAGACACATAGAGCTTTTTTAAGGACTCATAGAAACTCCTCAAAGCCTCTAATAACCAAGGGAACCTCTTCTCAGACCACTGAAACTTTGAGGAACCACTAGAACCTTTTTCAGTGATAACCAGAAACTCCTCAATGATCTAAAGAATAACAGAACCTCCTCAAGGACCACTGGGATCTTTACAAGGATAAGTAGAACCTTGTCCAGACTCACAGAAACTGCTCAAGGCCTCACAGAACCTCCTCAAGGACCACTGAAACCTCATCAAGGACCCACAGAACCTCTTAAAAACAAATAGAACCTCCTCAAAGGCCTTTTCAGAGATACTTCTACTTATCCTTGTGTACCACAGGTACCTTTACAAGGATAAGCAGAACCTCATCAAATACCCATAGGACTAGAACATTTTTTCTTCTAGAACATAGAAAGGATAAATACTCCTCAGTAACCCACAGAACCTCCTCAAGGACGACTGAAATTTTCATTGAATAAATAAATAATACATTTTCAAGGATAACTAGAACTTGGATTCAGTATCGGCTCCTAAGCAGCGCCCGATATAGTTCCAGGATCGTGAAACTCAAGCGTGAAATAAAAGAAGAACATGTTTACATGTTTATTTGTCGTGTCCTCACCTTGGTGATGTCTCCCTGGATCTGAGTGACTCCCGGCAGAGGAGCCATGGCCTGCAGGTCCACCGCCACGATCTTCACCTCCTCACCCCCCTCAGCCTTCTCAGCCTTCTCCTCCTGCCCTCTGAGTGGAAAAACATAACAATGAAATAGTTATTAAAATCCATTTAATTTCTGGCCAGGTGAGTGTATGTCAAAAAGCAACAAAACAAAACAAGACCTGAGTTTCCGACTGAGGACCTGACTCCAGCTGCCAGGAGCTGCACACAGATCAACTGCTCTGTTCACACCTGACAGGGAGAAAAAAATCTTGACGAATTAATATCTGGCAAATCAGACATTTAATGAAGACAGAAGAAGAGTAAAGACAGAACCAGACTCAGGTGTACCCTCCTCTGGGGCTCTGATGTAAGTGTAACCTGTTGGTCTGGAGCCCATCGTCTCAGGTGTCCTGTGTGTGTCTCACCTGAGAACAGGTTGAACTCCTGATCGAGCTGCAGCAGCTTGAAGGCGCTCCTCGCTCTCCAGCCCTCCTCTTTGGCCAGACGGTAGTAAATGTCCCTCTTGTCTTTTGAGGAGCGACCCATCCTGACCTCTGACCCCTCTGATGGAAAACACACACACGGATCCAGTAACACACCACCAGCCACATTTACACTGGTTTCTTTCAGTGGAATCATGCTGTGGTTACTCTGCTGGATCACTTACTTATATATAATTACCATTATTTTAATTCTATTAATGTGAATTATTATTATATTGATAGTTTATTGGTTAATGCAAATAGTAGTTTAACCTTACCAAATATTTTAAAGCATCACCAGGGTCCGCTATCACTACCAGTTCGCCTGTTACAGCCAAATTACACTGTTATAAACGACTGTGTACCAACTAAAATCAAGGTTTTACAAATATGAGTGGTGTATGATGTATTCTATGATAGCCGAACTGAACAGCGCCTTTTAATAAATATAAAAATGTTTTGATCCTAATTTAATTAACACTGTTATGGTGCTGTAGACCGGTAAACCTAGTCTTAGTCTCTTTTTAAACGGGGTTTGGCGTGGGGTGCGTGAGAAACGGCGTATTTCATGGCTGTCTGAGCTTAATGTCTAACGTTAGGTCGGTGTTTGCCTCTGGGTTAAATACATACACATTAATACTAAATACCACACGTAAAACAATAACACGATATCGAATTTAAAACACTGTATTAAACATTATCTTGCGGTTTCACCTTCTGTTCACGTGTAGTTCCGGTGTTGACGATGGAAAGGACCCCTGCCGACAGCTGTCCCCGCAGCGCCTGTTCAAAATGGCGTGATGACCCGCCACCTCTGCTTAATGACAAATACCGGTATATATATCTGTATATTTTTGGATCATACTTCTACTATAATCTTAATGACGACGATCTGTATGAATGATTTTTTTCCCTGTGGTTCTTTCAAGTGTTTCCAGGTTTCTGTCTTCTCAGTAGCGGCCACGCGGGGTCGCTGCAGACACACGAAACTGGTTTCTATACAACAAACATGTAAACCCCTTGAAGAATATCACAGAAAATATCACTGATAAATTCAAGTAAAATTTGGTTTTTATTGTTATGTATGAAAGATGAGACAATTAAACAACAAAATAAAAAATAATATAAACTAAAATACTGCTATTTATTTATGTATTTATTGCTGTTTACACCCTGTGAATCAGGAGTCAATTAATTTTCTCAGTGTCAGTTTTTTGCATTAGGGACTGTTCTTTACTGATCAGAGAGAGGAGGTGGCTGGGGTGTAACTTTTTTGTTTGTTTGTTTATTGTTTCATTTTCTGACCCTCTCCCTCCACTATAAATTAGTCATTAGACTTAAAGAAACAGCCAAAGAAGACAACTTTTAAATTTTAAGCGGTTGTGATTGGTGTAATTTTGGCAATATTTAGAGATATATATAAATAATGGAATACTAAATAATAACATAAATATTAAAATACAACCATTTAAATTTGTATGCCCATCGCCTTTGCCAAAATAAAACTCAAGTTTTTGCTTTTAAGTGAAGTTTAGTTCTCTTTAAGTGATTTACTTGATGATTTTGTGCAGTTTACAGGATAAATAAGTGACTATAAATGTCAAATAACTACATATTCAGCCAGAGTCTGTTACATGAACATGGACTAATTACCATCTATTCATCAATTAAAAGAACTTAATTATTTTTCCAACTTACACTAAATTTACTTCATTATTACATTTCATTACATTTGTTTCCTTAATGGAGGACAACTAATAAACCCATGAAGAGTTTTGACAAATAAATTTAATGTCACTTTTGTCTTCCCAGATGTTTCATTTCATTAATATTTGGTAAATGTCACAAAATTAAGCAGATGTTTCAGGTGGTTTTAAAAGTTACGTAAATGATTGTATTACGTGAGGTTAGTTTTTAGGTGATGTGGTTTGTGCAGAGAAATGTTAAGAGTCCTGAAGGATTAAACACATCACACAGAGAATCAGTTTATATACAAACATGTTTATTTTGAAAATTTCCCTTGAAAAAATACATTTATGTATATTCCTGTCAGAACTGTATATTTCAAAATACTAACAAATGGGAATCTGCAAATTTTGTTTAAACTGAGAGAAAACTCAAATCTGAACCTGATTTGATTTTTAATAAATAAAAAAAAAAAAAAAACATGTTAGAACTTAAATAAATAACCACAGGATGAGGAATGTCTCTTTACAAATAAAAAAACACAGAATGTACAAAATATTTTTACACATTTAAAAACATAACTACACTACATTTAAAATACAAAAGTGAATATTTGCATTGACGGTGCGTCTTCTACACAGAGACTGAGGGAGACAGAGGACAGAGGACGTCATGTTTTCAAACAAAGTCATGAGATATTGTTGGTGTAAAAAGTGAAATACAAACATCCAAACAATTCAAACAATAACCAGCCCTGCTCCGACAAAGACAACAATAAAACCAGGACAGATTTTTTTTCAGGATGTCAGTAGCACCAGTGATCAGATATTTCCTGATTTAAAATCTTAACTTTGCTCGTTCTGACCTTTATTTTCATCAGGAACAGTCCTCACCTGTGTGTGTTCAGACATTATGTGTGTTACAAGCATTTATACTGAGGTGTGTGTGTGTGTGTGTTGTTGAATGTGTGTTTCAAGTATCCCACCACATCAGTAGGTGAGGGTCTTTGTCCGTCTCAATGATGACATCACAAGGTGGGCAGGGTTTCTTTGGGGCGGAGGACAGGAAGATGTTCTTGTGCCCAAAGACTGAAGATCAGACTTTGAATGATGAGGGGAAAGTAACAGCAACAGTACGACTCTGAATTTTTTACATCACTTGAAAAATCACACCTGTGCAGGACTTTTGAAAAATGAGGAAAAACACCAACATTGTGTTTAAATGTCTTCTGTCAGAAACTTATCTATACTGCATATGAGAACACATCCTTAATATTCAACTTATCATTTCAAAAGAAATGGAGTGACAGGCGGCTGGGAGCGGCGTCTGCAAAGATGAGGGCGCTGGGACGGACCGTCATGGTGAAGAGGGAGCTGAGTGTGAAGGCAAAGCTTTCGATTTCCTGGTCCATCTACGTCCCAACCCTCACCTGAGGTCATGAGCTCTGGGTAGTGATGGAGAGAATGAGGTCGCGGATACAAGCGGCTGAAATGAGTTTCCTCTGTAGGGTGTCTGGCCTCAGCCTTAGAGATAGGGGGAGGAGCTCTCGGACATCTGGAGGGAGCTCGGAGTAGAGCCGCTGCTCCTTCATGTCAAAAGGGGTCAGTTGAGGTGGTTCAACATCTGATCAGGATCCTCCTGGTCGCCTCCTGGTAGATGTGTTCCGGACACGTCCCACTGGTAGGAGGCCCCGGGGCAGACCCAGAACACGCTGGAGGGATTATATATCTCATCTGGCCTGGGAACACCTCGGGGTCCTCCAGGAGGAGCTACTTCTTGTCTTTGCCGTCTGCCTGTTCTTTGCATTGGAGGACAACCAGTCTGGGTTCTTCTGTGACTTCACCACATTTATTTTGGGTCAGTTTGTCATGTTAACTAAAGGAGTCGCTGACGAACTCTCCACACTGTCTCCTGGGCTGCAGCTGGTTACCGTGGCAACACTCCAGTCACAGCAGCTGTCAAATTCAAGGCACTCTGAAACAGGATCACCAGACAGGTGTTGAGGCTCCATTAGAGCTGCATCACAGTCTGTGACCAGGAGGGGGCGCTGTGGAGCAGCACAGAGTCAATGTCATCCTGACCTGTGACCGCCACTCGCTCCTGTCAGCTGGAAACATTTCCTTAAGGTGACAAACTCGCAAGCACGAGAGAATTCAACCGCCACCAGGAGGCTGCCGTCAGTCAAGTCCACGCCACGCCCCCTGGCAGCCTCTCATGAACCAATCAGAGGCTCTGCTGGCTGGAGGAGGAAGAGGAGGAGGAAGAGTCCGCTGTGATGGCGTGAAGCGTGATGCCTTTGTTGTCTGTCTGCTGTCCGTTGCTGACCGTCACCCAGGGGTGGAGGAGGATCTGCTCCAGAGTCGGCCGGTCAGACGGCTGCAGGCTCAGACACCAGCCAATCAGCTGCTGGCACTCTGCGACAGAAACACAAAGAGATAAAGAACATTAACATGTCTGAACCTGATCCTGTGATCCAAGCAGAACGGACTCGTCACGCTCGGACTGACCTGAGGAGAGTTGGCGTCTGAAGTAGACCCGTCCTCTCAGGATTTCCTCGTCCTGTTCGAAGGGGATGTCCCCGCAAACCATGTCGTACAGCAGCACGCCGAGAGACCAGACAGTGGCCGAGCGGCCGTGGTACCGGCGGAACCGGATCCACTCTGGAGGACTGTACACACGTGTACCTGGAGGGAGGAGGCGCAAGGTGAGACAGGGATGTGACTGGAGCTCATTCATGCTGCTGCAGTTGTCATGACGACAGCATCAGGAAGTGACAGATCATCATCATCATCATCATCATCATCATCATCATCATCATGCTCATTACTGAGGGCGGCTGGTGTTTCTGTAAAATACTTCCTGAGCAGAACAAAGAGACCGCCATCATCTGTCTTTACTCAACATTACACAAGTGGTGCATGATGGGAAGGTGTCTGTCATACGGTGACTGTCGTTGATGTAATCCCCAACCCTTCACCTTATTATAACCTTAACCCTGAGACTCCAAACCCTCACAAAGCCCTTTAGAAGGAAGTAAAGCCTGTTAAAAAAAATTATACCTACTTAGGGACTGTTCGTTATATATGAGGGGGGAGGGGTGGTGCAAAAAGGGGAAGGCAGGTCAATTACGTTTTTGAGCACTGGGGAGGGAATGTTTTTTATTTTGGCTTGGGGCCCTCACGAGGATGAAGGACAAGGACTGGGAAGAATGTTGAAACTGTTTTGTTGACCGTCTTATTCACAAACTCTCTGAAGTGTTCGGCCACATCCACAAAAATGTTGATAAACCTGAAACTGACATTTATGATTCACATGTCACACGGTTTCTAAAAGTTTGTTTTCTATAAAAAAAAAATAAAAAACCAACAAAGAAGAAATCGTCTTTCTTGCTCTGTCAGTTTGCTGTTGTCGTGACGACTGCCCCAGTTAAAACAGTAACTGTCAATGAGACTCACCATCGAACTCTGTGTAGGCGGTGTCTTTGAGGAGGGCCCCCGAGCCGAAGTCGATGAGTTTGATCTGTCCAGTCCTCAAGTCCACCAACAGGTTCTCGTCCTTGATGTCTCGGTGGACGACGCCGCAGGTGTAGCAGTGACGCACTGCCTCCAGCACCTGCAGGAAGAAGCCGCGTGCTGCCTCCTCGTCCAGTGCGCCACGCTCTGTGATGTAATCAAACAGGTCCTGCCCTGGCTCAGGGCACTCCATCACCATCAGCCAGCCGTCCGCCCGCTCCCACCAGTCCAGGAGCCGCACCACGCCGCCGAACGCCCCTCCCACCTTCTTTAACAGCACAATCTCCAGAGGGACCACTGCGCCACACTGAGAAGGAAACAAATCATAAACTCTACTGACCATTAAATTAGAACAAAATTAATACTATAAAAATGACAGATAAAAATATACCAGGAGAAAAGATGAAAATGGTTAAATCAAGTGCTCTTAAATTTAGCATGGTGTCCCACAAGGGTCTATACTGGGTCCTCTTCTATTCACAATAGGTAATATCCTTTCTGCCTCCACACTCTGTAGAGTCAAATCTACTTTTTATGTTTCAGCTTTTCATAAACAGCAGGGACGGGAGGATCGATCCGAAAATATCGATACTCTCAACACTACGTTTTCATTTCAAAGATCGATCCTGACATTAATGTTACATTTCAATTACTGTAATTGATCATCATTAGCTGTTAGTGATTGATTATTCACCTCATAAATCATGACACACTGCTTTCACCTACAAGAAAAAATTGCCGCTTTTAATAATAAACATTATCGTATCCATATCTATGCAAATATTGGCAATCCTGGCCCTGTGATACTTGGCATTGAATCCAAACCAAATTTTGTGGTATCGTTAGGGCTGGGCGATATAACGACTATGTACGATATATCAATATATTTTCATGCAAGATATAGATTTAGACAACACTGTTTATATTGATATAGGGTCATGTTGTGTTACATAACACATACCAGTGTTCATCTCTACTCTCACACTCTCCCTCACAGCTCTGCCCACTCACTCATTCACTCACTCACAGTTTCTCCATCAACACTCAGAGAGACACAGAACTGCTCCTCTGTTTAATCTGTCTGTTCATTAGTCTACAGCATGACATCGGTCTGTATGTTGCACGTGCTACGCTACATCAGTCTGTGAGATGAATGAAGTTACCACAGCACAGGTGTAATCCAGCATGTGTCGCTGTTTCTCTTGGTAGTTGTAGTCTATGTGTGACACTGAGACAGTGCCTGGATGCAGGCGACAGATGTGTTTAAAAAATGCAACAACAACACGTTTTATTTACAAGACGTATATAACGAGGATAAAGTGTCTCTGTCTAAGTTTACACATCAGCCATATTTTTTTACTGACACTGTTTCCACTCATGTTTTTCAGGTGTAAACTGAAAATGCAAATTTAAAAACACTTTTAAAAACCCAAGTGAGAAACACAAATGCTACCTCTCTCTGATTATATCCAAATACAAGTCATGTCAGGTACATTTTCAGTTTACTGTGGCTGTAACATGTTAAAATTGAGCTCGGAAACCAAACTGTGTCTTTAAATATTCCTGAATGAGCCCCAAAAACACTGAAGTTAAAATCTGGATGACAGTGGCCTTTTCATAAAAAGGATTAAGTATCTAATATAGCAGCTGAAGTGGTAATTAATCTGACAGGAAGTTATAAAGCAGTTAATCAGCAGGTATGGTCTCACCAGAGAGCCCCACTCAGTCACTCTGTCTCTGCACACGTGCTTCACCGCCACCTGCATGTAAATAAAACAACACCATCAACACACAGCCTCCATACAGTTATATGACTCACAACATACATGGTAGAATAATGTATGTGTCTATATAAAAACACATAATAAACAGCAGCCATAATTAAAATCTGACTTAACAGTAACATGAAGCTTTTTGTTTTACTTTGATAATGAATTACCAGATTTTTGATTCCTGTTTTGGGTTTTAAAATGAAAATACTAAAGCATTTCCTGCCACCAAAGCGTATAAAGCAAAACAGCATGATTATGTCTCCAATATAAAGAGGGGGTAACGCTTCAAAGGCCCCATTTCTTTGTGAAAACAAAGAGCACATGCCAGGCAGGACTGCATTGTGTCAAGCTCAGCAGCTGATGAGTGAAACAGGAAGTATAGGGCCTTACAAATAAAAGCACAGAGTCAAAACTTGATGTTGAGATATTCGTGCATTCAACACCTGTAATAATTTGGAAATGCTTTAAATATTAAAGCAGAAGTTAAAGAAAGAAAAAGAAGCTGTTACTTTACAGACACAAACTTAAAGATATTTAAATCAAATCTATCAATGACAACTGTACTGATGGCACGTTATGTGAAGTACTTCAAAGTACAGGTTAAATCTACTGCATCAGTGGTGATGATGATGATGACTGCATGTTATGTCACAGCTGAGGTGAATTACTCATCATAGATAGAACAAAACTATAAGCTGAGAGAGAAGCTCCCGGTGAATTCGACCAATCACGCTCTATGCTTAAATGCATAAACTGATTTCCCTACATGTATTTTGGGGAAAATACTTGAAGTCTCAGGTGCAGCTCTCGAATATCGAGCGTGCTGCTTTTGTCAGTAAAGCAAACAGCATTAATATGAATATTACTGATAATAATAATAATGTGGTTAGATTGTAAGTTACTTTTTCTAGTTCTTATGTTTTCTATCTCACTGTAAGCTAGTTTTTATATTTTCTACTTTACTATCAGCTGTTTTTTAAAATAATTTTTACGTTACTGTTAACCATTTTTCATATTTATATCCACATTTAGCTGACTTGCACCCTTTCTATCTGTTAGCTGGTTTTACATTTTATACCTTACAGTTGGCCAGTTCGTATGTTTTACTTTTTTTTAAAAAAAATAAAAACAAAACAAGTAAACATTGGTAAATGCCAAAAATCAATCGCCACTAACAAAAGGAGCGCAAGTTGTGTAAATGAACAAAAACAATAGAGAACTCATATTTAATATCTGCTTCACATTGCTTCATCTATTTTATTTTAGTCCTTGTATTTTGTATACTTTGTATCTGCACTCTATTTTTTGTTGCAACAGCTGCACAGTAAGTTCCTCCGGGATGAGTAAAGTATTATCATATCTTATAAATGTAAAGGATGAACTTTCACGTTGTAATATTTTGCAGACTTTTCGTGCAGCTTTTATTTTGAAGCCACAGACCGGAAACGCGGCTGCTCGCAGCATGTAGCTTGACGCTGCGAGCCGCGGCCATGTGCCGGGACCAAAACAAAGCAGCTCCCGCTCTTACCGGCAGCCCGTCTGCGAGGCGGACAGCCGAGTACACCGTGCCGAATCCTCCGCTGCCGAGCACCGACCCGAGCCGGTACAGCTTCTCAAACGGCTGCTTCTCCGCTTTGGCTGAAAAACAAAGAAAATTTAAATCAGGACTTCTTCCTGTCTCTGGACGGTTAGGAGCCTCTGGCGTTGCGCCAGAATCTGTAACCCCCCCACCCCCAACACCACCTCCCAAAAAACCGTCTCAGTGCCGGTGTGTCCTCGTGTCACCCCTCCGGCATGTTGTTCTTACAGTGTTGGCTCACTGTAATGACCTCACTGAGATATTACACAGAAATCACTGCACGAGCACATCAGCAAACGTCCTCAGATGACCCTGTTGTTCTCCTGACAGACGTTTAAAGATGGTGGACTGTCTACACCACCTTCATCATCATCATCAATATTTAAACGACTTCAGCTACGTGACTCAAGTGAAAAGAAACACGGAGAAAATACTTTTTATGACGACATAACTACACATCTTGGCACGAGACCTGTCTTTTAAAATGGCCCCTGACTGTTGGATCTAAAGGTCACACAGTGGCACACAACCACCAGCCGAATACTGCAGTGAAAATAAACAAATTTAAAATGTATATTCATTTATTCGATAAAAAGTACCGAACTTTAGCTGCTCATAACCTCTCATATGTTAATATATGACGCGTTGAAGCCATCGGCTGTCTCTGATAAACACCATGCACCACACAAGTGGAATAATCTGCATAAGATTGTAAAATTACATTAACTAATCTTATTTAATCAATTCAAATCCCTTTCGTTAAGAGCAGTGAGTGCATGTTTTAGTGATGCTTTTCCCCATACCGATGTCTTTGTCTTTACATATTATAACGTGGATTATTTTGTTTTATGAGTTTTGGTGTAGACTTTAATTTTTGTGTGCTTGTGTTGTTTTCTACTGTAATAAGGGTCCCTGTATTGCAGAGGTTGCTCTCAGTGGTCTTCCCGGTTTAAATAAAGGCTTTAATAATAATAATTTCAATATATTTCAATTTTTAGATTATGTTTTCAAATAAAGAAGCAAATATATGTGCTATTGAATAATAACTTGTATAAAACGGCCGTTACTTGATGTTATTTTCAGCGGTTAACTCAGGCCGCATTATGTGACCCCTCATTCCGTGACCTGATTAGACCTGGCTCTATTCCGGTAACGGTGGATCACTTGAGGTCAGTGTTTCGGTTTGACGTCCCGGAGATGACCGGTTGGGGTCAGGCAAGGAGAATGAGGTCACAGAATCTACCGGGTCACGGAACACGGTAAAACACCGGCACTTTATGACCGTTAAGTTACCTTGATGGAGCTTCGCCGGCAGGTCCATGCTGGAGGAGATGTGAGAGCCCAGTTTAGAGAGCAGCATGCTGCGCGTGACGTCTCCCCCAAAACAATGAAAATACACCCGGAAGATATTCACGTAATGAATCCCAGAAAACAGCGGTGTCCTCGGTTCTGGTCACGGGCGAAATGAGACCGTAACCCGGTAAAAATCCATCGGTAGTCCCGTTAAGAGCGGTCAGTTACGGTAACAGCATCCGGAAGAATGAGCCGGTGTGTCTCGCGCGCTCCGCCGCTGACAATATTTACAAACATCACACAGATCCTTCCGCCTGCCCCGAGCTGAACCGTAACGAACACCACAGAACAAGTCACTTCATACACAAACTAACTTCCGGATAAACGGCGGTGTAACGGCTAGAATCGGTTCACTGTGAAGAATAAGTCGGTGCCGTTAAAAAGGAAGCTCGAAACCAATACGAAAAAAGGACTAGTTTTACGTAGTAGGACAGGCGCAAGGATCCAGAGAGGGTCACTCCGACAGTGCCGTGCTGCGGCTCATCAGAGAGGAGAGGTTACAAAATGCTGTAATGACTTGACACACATCTTCTCTAATGATTAAACATTTAAACAATAAAATTAACTCTGACAACATCATAATTGTTTTTATTTAACTTTATTGAACAAAGGTTAATGTCACAGAGTCAGGCATCATCGGAACTGCATGTTGTCAAAAAGACAAAAGAGAGACTGAGATTAAAGAACAAGGACACAGAGAGAGAAAGCAGAAAAACAGCATTTTAAAATAATTCAGCAGAAAAAAATCCACAGACTGCATTAGATTAAGAAAAGCTGTCGAAAAACTAAATAATTAAAAAAAAAAAGGAAAAACTTTCAAACAGGGGGATGATGTGGCAAATGTAGAATTGTGTGTATGAAATTCACCAAGCAGGATCATCATGAGGTTTATCATGAAATTCAATGAATTAACATCGCTTTCAAAATAAACCATCCCTTAGATTGACTTTGACAGAGTGACCATTATTCCTTAAAATACATATTTCCGAATCAGAATGTGAACAACTAAAAAACATGTTTTAATGTCTCAGGTTCATTATTGCAAACTGCGCATTTTTTCAATTATTTATTATTTTGTGTTTAATATTTTACAATCCCCCTGAACAAGTGCACAGACTGTAAAGACACAATACAATTATAATAGTAATGACTAATGGGGAGGAAAAATTAAATAAATAAAAAAGATTAATGGTCAGTGGAAATGGTTTATTTCTTTATAGATCCAGAGCACATGTAACATACGTTTTTTTATATTAAACTTTATTTAACAAAGGTAAATGTTACAGTCAGATATCATCGAAACTGCATATTGTTAAAAAGACAAAAGACGAACTGAGATTAAATGAAGACAAAAAAGGAAAAAGACAGAGACAGTTTTTTGAAATAATTCAACAGAAAAAAAATCCAGAATGCATTAGATTAAAAAAAACTATCAAGAAAAACTTTTTTTTTTTTTTTTTAAATTTTAAACAGGGGGATGATGTGGCAAATGTAGAATTGTGTGTATGAAATTCACCAAGCAGTATCATCATGAGGTTTATCATAAAATTCAATGAATTAACATCACTTTCAAAATAAACCATCTCTTTGACTGACTTTCACAAAGTGACTATTATTCCTTAAAATAATCCTCCTGAGACCCTGCGACCTTATGTGAGGACGTCATATTAGGGTTCACTGGACTGTACGCTTCATTCTACTGAATTTAGGGCCGTCTTTGTGCCATCTTGTAGTAGTAAGAGCACAATACACTAATCCAAGTAAAAACAAGATGGCAGCCATCTCTGCCAAGTCAGTCTGCAGCCGATCCCGACACAGAAGTGGACACAGTCCAAAACCTGATCACAGTTTATGGTTGAAACTTGTTTATTTCTGATTAATAATGTTTGTAGTTTCACACGGCAAAAAAAAAAAAAAATTCTCCCAATTTTAGCAACAGTAACAAAATAAGACACTTTTATTTAGAAAGTACTCGCTTGAAGACATTGGGGCTTTACTGTTGTCTTGTTTGAGGACAATATTATGTATTATCTGTGAATCTGTCCAACATTGAGCAGAATGTGACTATACTAACTAAAAATCAAATGTATCAGTGTTTCAGGTTCATTATTGCAAAATGTCCTTTTTTTTCATTTACATAATGGGATATTTAAAAATAATGGATTTGTGCATTTAGTCCTTCTCAGGCAAGCTCAGGGGTTTAGTGTTGCTGTAGCCCACAGGAAGTGAGGATTAGAATATATGACCTTCACATAATCCGCTCCAAATTAATCTATATTTTTAAAGTCATTACTAAAAGTGTGTGTCATATAAAAACTAAAGTGATGGTCAAAGTTGTCACAGTGAAATTTAAGGTGTGCTGATGGATTCACGTCATCAACTCATGCATTGAGTAACATTACAAGTTAACGTTCCACCTTAAAAGTCACCGGCAGTCGGCCCAGTGAATGAAGTTATTTTTTCTCAGACTCCAGCTGCTGTGAGAGGCAGCAAAACATCCTTTCATTTTATAGTTACAGTTTACTAATAAAACTCTCCACAGTATGAACAGTGGTTACATGAGCCTCAAAACCAGACACAACTCAGCCCTGAGCAGAGTGACCGTCCTCTACTGACCAATCAGACTGCAGTGTTCACAGCTCCACCTTTTAGTACCAGATCTGTGTGCTAGGTACCCCAACAGAGGGGGGACCAAACATGGGGATGGGAAGGAAGTGAAGTGAAGGAACTGAAGTGAACTGTTTGGTGGAAACGCGGCTCAAGTTCACCAGCTAGTCTCCAACCGTGTCTGTCTGCTGTTTGCCACTGAGCAGGTAGTGAACACATTAAATGTGCAGTAAAAGAAACAAAACTTCTACATGGTGAAAACAACACGCTGCAGCATTTGTGTGTGTAATCTTATAATTTCATCCCCTGACACTGTTTTGTTTTCTTCCAGTGTTTTGCTGTAACCATGTGGAGCACCTGCAGCTCATCGGACAGCTCAAAGCAGCAGCACAACATTTCCCGTAATCCAATCTGTCTGTTCACAAACTGCTGGAGCCAGTGAGATAGTTTTGACTGAGGCAGCGGCCAGGTCACATGACCTTCTGTATTACTGCCCCACAGAGTCCGACTGTAGGTCAGCTCCTCCTCCTCTTCTCTGTCAGTGAATGTAAAGAGACGGATGGACAGGAAACAGATGTGAAGAGCTGCAGATGTTCTTTAAACTGATCTGATCTCACAGAGGTTAAACACCCCTATAATCACATCACTGTTCACTTTCTGGCTCCTCAGCCACATGGTCCAAAAAGTCTAGTTTGTCATGTGAACGTCATCACAGAGTAATTTAAGAAATATACACGCTGTCGTAAAGTCGTGGATATTGTTTCTCAAAAGAGATTTTTTGAGGTTTTGGTGCTTAAAATTCCAAAGTTCTTGTCACCTTCATCGTATTTCAGTAAAAGCAAACTTTTAAAAAAACTCTGCAAACAGAAACTACAATTACAAACAGGTGCCACTGTAGGATAGTGAGAGAATGTGTTGTTGTGTTTTGGTTGGTTGGATCCTTTAAGTTTGCAGCAGCAGGCATAACAGACCCTGTGTTCACATGTTGCCCGCAACATGAATGTGACTCGGGTCATTTGTTCTCTTCTATTTTTATCTGCGTCTATTTTGAAAGCTGTGAAAGAAGTGAGAGTGGAGCTGCTTCGTACTGAGCTGCCTCTCTCCGGCTCGTCTTCAGCACTTTTGGAAACGCTTCAGCTTCTGGTTTCATTTTCATGGAGGATATTTTCCTGTCAGAAAGTTGTAATGTCAGTGCACGCAGCAGCTGTGACGGCGCAGATGAAAGATATCTGTCAGACCGTGCTTCAGCTAAATTAACCATCGTGGTCGGAGACACTCATTTCTCTGAGGAGAAAATGTTTCTGGTTCAGAGTTGTGACTATTTCCGAGCTCTGTATCGCTCTGGGATGAAGGAGTGTCGGCAGGAAGAGATCCACCTCAAGTCTCTGCGCGCTCGAGGCTTCCTCATCGCCTTGGCGGTCTTACGAGGTGAGATGCCTGACCTGGATGGCGACGACATTGTTGAAGCCATCGAATGCGCTGCTTTCTTGCAGGTGGCGCCGCTCACTAAGCATCTCATCAACCTCATTGATTCTGAAAACTGTTTGCTGATGTATCACACGGCTGCAACCTTCGGCCTCGTGGACCTTTACCACGCTGCTGCGCTGTTCATCCGAAACATGTACGCCGACCTGGAGGCGGAGGTGAAGAAATCCTTACCATCAGAGCTGATCTCCTACGTGGAGTCTTTGAGCCCAAGTGTTTTCGTTGCCGTCGGGGCTCACGTGACCTGCGGCGTGGATGAAACCGTGCACGCCGCCTCCAGGACGGTGTGCTACCTGGATGAAAGTAGCAACAATTGGAAAGTGTTGACAGATCTTCCACTAGAGGCCAGCACCTCCATGGCTGGAGTGACTGTTTTAGACAACAAGCTTTACATCATCGGAGGAGTTCACGGACTTCACAAACAAGTCGTCGATTCTTGTTTCTGCTACAGCGTCGAAAACAACAGCTGGGGCCGGATCTCCAGTCCGGCGCAGCTGCGATACAATCTCAGCCTCGTGGGCATAGACAGTTGTCTTTACGCTATCGGAGGAGAGTATGAGCGAAGGGTGATGTCATCTGTGGAGACATATGATGTAAAGACCGGAAGGTGGGAGTTTGCTGCTCATTTACCACGACCGGCGGCAGGAGCAGCGTGCACCAAAGCCATGGGCAGGATATTTGTGTGTTTATGGAAGCCGATGGAGACCACAGAGATCTACGAGTACCTCTCAGGGAAAGACGAGTGGCAGCTGGTTACCACGCTTATCAGGAAGCAGAGCTACGGCCACTGCATGGTCAGCCACAGGGACAACCTGTACGTCATGAGAAACGGACCGTCGGACGACTTCCTGCGATGCCTGATGGACTGTTATAGTCTGAGCTCAGGCCAGTGGTCGTCTCTGCCCGGGCACTTTGCCAACAGCAAAGGTTCACTGTTCACAGCAGTAGTGAGAGGGGACTCTGTGCTCACGCTCAACAGGAGCATGACTCTGGAGTTCGCCGTCGACGGTAAAACCTGGAAGCCGCGGCGGCAGATGAAGGGATTCCCTAGAAGTGGATCTGTGTGGACGTTTCTACTCCAGCTGCCAGACGCTCTCATGCTGCAGTAACAGCTTCATTTGTTCTGGGATTTACTGGACTGTCAACTCCTTTTTACACTCAGACATGTATTTCCTACCTGTGCTTCAATAAATTTAACAACATTTCCCATTTATTACTTATTTGGGTCTTCGTAATTTTGTCCATCATTTCTCTCAGTGGTTATAACATTGTACCCACAAAATTATTTACTGAGCTCTGGGACCACGGTGGCAAAAATAAGTCAAAAAGGTTTTGTATCAAAGCCTGTTTCCCCTACAAATATTGTTTCCTGCAGTGCTGCCTTTCTGGGTTTGGGTTAAGGTAAGGTTGGGTTTCGGTTAGGGTAAAGGGAAACACAAATCAATGGGGAAACAGACTTGGGCACTTAGCTACATAAAGTATATGCATCTCCTTTGGCCAGTTTGCATATCTATTTGCAACATGTGTTGGTTCCAGGGCTACATGTAAATCATGGTCAGCACATTACCACCACTCTCTGATCTGACACGGCTAACTTCAGTGTATCCTCAGCTGCAATTATCACAGGCAGTGGTGGAGGAAGTTTTTAAGATCCATTAGTAAAAGTACTTAAACTGCACTGTAAAAATACTCTGTTACAAGTAAAAGTCCTGCTCTGAAAATGTTACTGAGGTTAAAGTATGTAAGTATAATCAGGAAAATGTACTTAAAGTATTAAAAGTATAAAAGACATCCCCTGTGACTGTTATGATATCATCAAATTTTATGGCCCTTTTCTAGACAGAGATGGCGCTATAGAGCCGCTACTAAGTCCCTTCTTTATGCCTCCTTTGCATTTTTACACAGAACCAAACAATGGCAGCATCATGCCACTCCAGTGTGTGATTTCAGACAGCATACCGGCATCATGCAATCAAATGAGGCCTGGCGTTTAACACAACAGTGTCGGCCTCTAGTGTGACATACAACATATGCATCAGCAGAACTTTATAAACAATAACAATGGCATAACATGGCAATAACAATCATTTACCATCTCGGTTACGTGTGCGCTGATCTTGTCCTCTGCTCGGAGGGTAAGGAGCTCCCAAATCTCATCATTTTCCCAGAACAGACATTTTCCTCATTTTCGGCTGCTGTTCTTCTTTGAAACAGCCGCTAACTGCTAACAGCTACTTTTTAAATCTCCTGCGATGGGTTGCACACATAACATGTCGTCAAAATGTCACACTCATCCTGCTGGCTGTCCTGTTTATACACACATCGTTCAGGTGCTGTTACTACCTCCCATGGTGGCTTAAAGGCAAGAACACTCTGTCCCCCTGCTCTGCAATTGTACCTTATATACAGAATGGCTGCTCCCGTCTGGGCATTGATTTAGGGTCCCAAGAACCAGTCAGAGCATATATAAGAAGTCCTTTATTCCCTATGTCATACAGGCCGAATGACCGTATCAAGGAACACGAAGATGTGCTGTCTTTCACGTTTTATATAACTTATTGGTCCTACCTGCCAATTTGAACTGTTGTAACATATATTATAAAATTGTACATTTTTAATGGTGTATTGTATTATGTGTCTGTTTGTACCTGAATCCACTGAGGTGGACAATAAAGTAATGTACTCGTGCATTGATGTGACAGCAGGATTTTACAGTGGTGGTTGGTTTAGGTGGAGCTCAGTTTGAACTATTAACTCATGATTATTTAGGGAAAATCTGGAAAAGACTGAATTTTTTTTTAAAGGCAGAATTTGAAAAAACAACCTCCTCCTACAGCTCTCCCCTCTCTCTCCTAAGCCCCTCCCCCAAGACGACCACGGGCATATGCATGTGCTTCATACAGTGACCCAGTGTTTCCCATACATTGCTTTAGATAATCTTATTTCATTATAGAGTTGCACACAGCTCATTCAATCAGCCCATCCTTGCCCTGCTCCGTTTATCACACTATGAATGAGACAAAAGTGAGCAAGCTGGCCATCCCACGTTCCCTCCGCCTCGCTACCCGCCATTGTGGACTGCTTCACCAGGAGGAGTGTAGGCAGCTTGAATTCCAGCTGCCTGTCACTCTCTCGGGTAAAAGTCGGTGTTTGTTGGATCCATCCACCACCACTCCTGCCCGCCCCACTTGGACTTTTGCTGCCTTAACTTTAATGCCTGTCCCGTTCGGGTTTCCCCGACACTGCTGGGCGCCCGTAAACTAACGGCAACCGGCTGCATCTCTTGCCGACGTTAAAGGATGCCTTTTTTCGTTGATTTCTAATGCCACAAGTCATTACCCAAGTGCTGGATTTTGACGACTTTGGAGTGAGACCATGCTCGGCGAGTTGGTCTGTAGCGGCGGGAAGTGAGGCGGAGGACACACTGTGATTCCAGGCTCTGGCTAACATAAGCCACATAAACGTGAACTTAAAGCAGCAGCCGTGAGCCTTTGTCTCCAGTTAGCATAAGGTTAAACTATTAGCAACATCTTCTCTCTGTCTCTGCACATTTTGCTGATACTGACTAATTTTATTTATTGTCAGACTTGGGTTGCTTTGCAGTGTAGGCAGCTGTGGCTAGCTGTTGCAATGCAGGATTCTCTGCCACTGACTCACTCTTTCACCTTCTGAGGGGATGTGCACACGGGTCTGCATTTATAGAACAGCCAGTAGGAACGCCCCCTCTCTCTGAAATGACCTGTGATTGGGCAGAGTCTTCTGTCACAGGTTAGATTTTCTAAAGCTTGAAAACAAAGCCAAGAGGAGGTGCAGACGTCTCTCAGTCCATTTGAACTAAAATATTTCGATGCCACAATTAAACTTCCTACTCCAGCTTTAATCTGCTGATTATTTCCTCCATTGATCGATTAATTCTTTAAAAACTGTGATAAATGACCCAGAGCCCAAAGCGACATCTTCACAATGTGTATTTTGTCCAACCATGGCATAAAACCTCGACATTATTACTACAGCATTACAGTTATTAACATTAAAAGGAAAGCAGTAAATCTTTACATTTGAAAAGCTGGAACCATAAAATGTTTTCACATGAAAAATGACTTCAACCATCAAATAATTGCCAGTTAATTTTCTGTCAATCAACTAATTGTTTCAGCTGCACATTTTCATGTATTTATTGCAAAAATCTTAATTTATAAAGTGACTGAAGCTGTCAGATAAAGGTAGTGATTTTTCCTTCTAAGATGTAGTGGAGTAGAAGTATAAAGTGGCCTGAGAAGAAGAAAGTCCCCATGTAACGTACAAGTACTTTAAATTTTACAGGACATGAGTAAATGCACTTGGTTAGATTCCACCACTGGCTGTGCAGGTGGTGAAGCAGACAGCAGCCCCTCACATCATGTGGTCAGACTCTGATAACCTGATTAATGTCCACAGATAGAAGCTCATCCATCTCTGATTCAGAGCTCTGCTTCCTGGCTTCGTTCCCAGACGGACTCAAGCTCGGAGGTTGTGGAGGGCATCGGCCCGAGCGCCGTGTCCCGGCCTGACCCCGGCCTCTCTCTTTATTCTGGGTCAGATTCAGCATCGCCGCTGCCTGCTGCTGGCGTCCAGCCCGGCCGCTGCCCGTGGTGCCTGGCTCTGCCTGCCGTTAACCTCCATCATCATCATCATCATCATCATCATCATCGGTGCTCGGTGCCAACAGGAAACAGAGGCCGCTGCAGGAAACAGAAGCTCTGTGTGAGGACAAAACACTGCAGTTCACACGGGGCCAGCAGCACTGAGAGACACACGGACTGTATGAGGTGAATCAGATTTACATTATAACACAGATCCTGACGATGATGGAGGGCATAAATAATCCCTTAATGGTCCAGTGTGCAGGATTTAGGGGGGCATATTGGCAGAAATGGAATATTTTATAATGTTTTCTTTAGTGTAAAATCACCTGACAATAACAAGTGTTCTGTTTTTGTTATCTTAGAATGAGCTGTTTATATCTACACAGGGAGCAAGTCCTCATCTACAGAGACCACCATGTTCACCCTGTATATGCTGCCCCTGGGACAGATAACACATCATCACAGCATCTCTTTCCAAAGCTACGCAGATGACACACAGCTCTACCTGTCTTTTAAACCCACTGACACCATTACATTAGCTTCTCTTCATAGTGTGACATAAAAAGCTGGAGTGTCCCAAAACATCTTAAAATTTAACTCTGAAAAGACAGAAGTTCTCATCACTGGCCTTGAACATATTCCAAAACAAATTCAGCCACTCGTCAGGTGTAAAAAACCTGGTGTTATTCTGGAGCAACATGTTAAGAGTGTAGTCAAGTCTAGTTTTTACCAGCTGAGGAACATTTCCAAATGTAGGTCACTTCTGTCCTTCAATAACAGAGAAAACCATTCATGCTCTTACATCCTCCCACCTTGATTATTTTTAAACACCTTGTTCACCTGCCTAAACAGTTGAGCCATACATCAGCTCCATAATGTTTAAAATTCAGCAGCTAGAGTTTTGACCAAAACGCAACAATCCTCACACATCATACCTATTTTAGCCCCCCTGCACTGGCTTCCTGTCTCTTTTAGAATCCATTTTAAAGTTCTTTTAATCACATACAAAGCTCTCAATGATCTCAATGACACCGGAGTACATAACTGAGCTTCTCATCCAAACAGGCCCCTCAGGTCTGCAGGTCTGGGTCTTCTAACTGTTCCAGAGTCCAGGTTAAAGACAAAGGGTGATCAAGCCTTTTCAGTTCTGGCTCCTCGGCTCTGGAACAGCCTCCCACTGAGCATCAGATCAGCTGACTCTGTTCACATCTTTAAATCTCATCTGAAAATGTACTTTTACAGATTGGCCTTTCCTGACAGTTGACAGACTAATTGTGTGTTTTGGAGTGTGTGTATTTGCAGCCATGTGTTTAGGTATGTGTGCATACAGGTATGTGTTTAAGGAGCCCAATCTTATTAAACTATAACGGCAACTGGCCGCGTATCGGATGCCTTTTTTCATTGGTTTCTGATGCCGCAAGTCACTGTCCAAGCACTGGATTTCGACGACTTCGGAGTGAGACTCTGCTCCCTATTACAGAAGGACTGGTGAGATACTCTTGAGCTGCACAACATTTTTTTGCTTTCCATCAGCCATCTTGGTTTTAGAGCTTTGTGTTGCATGGACAACACCTGTTGACAGTGTATGGCATGATGCGCTAGAGTCCACTGTAGTGAATTAAATGCAACTATAGCATCAAAACCCATGCATATACAAGAAAATGTCTTTTAAATAGCGGTCCATTGCAGTGACCACAATACATGAAATGGTTAATGTAGCATATGTAACATACATCAGATCTCATACATTCATTGTGTACAAGTCTTTATATTGGAAGCCACTGTTTCAAAAGTGGACAGACAGTATCCCAGTGGTCTGCCAGCGCCTTATCAAAGTCTTTTAACAGGCAGGTCACTCAGTCCATCTTTAGTAATTCCAGGTACTCCTTCAGCCAAGAGTCCCCTGTGAAGAAGGCTGCTTTACGCTCCTTCCAGTTTGGAAGACTTTAGCTCCTTTTACGCTGCCAGATTTTCGGCGAATGTTGGGCCATTTTGCCAGCAAGCTGCGAGTGCTTAGACACACAGAGCCGGATTGGCGAGTTGATCTGAGGTGCCCAATTTTCCCCCTCGTAGGGTAGACATATTGGGGGAACCCTTTTAGATTAAACAGACCAAGGCGGCCTTCTGCAACGGGAGGGGCTGTTGATGACTTGAGGGAGGAGCTGTTGATGACGCTGCACGTGCGACCCACTGGCGGTGGATAAACAGGAAACAGCTGATAGCAGGAATTAGCGAGCAGCTAGTAGCAAGAGGGAAACACAAACCTGACAGACACTGTAAAGATGAGCAACTGGGGAGACAAGGAATTGCACGCCCTCCTTGTCCTCGCAAACGAAGAGGCCATTAACTGTCAGATGACGGGGACGGTGAAGGACGGGCCGACTTATGAGAGAATCACCAAAGGACTGACCAGCCGCGGCTTCCCGCCAAGTCACTGTTTGCGTCACATGTTGAGCTACACGTTTTGTTACTTGCTCACGCCCCCCATTGCCCCGAAAAAGGCGCATTCTGTATAAACAAAAGTAGGTAGGCGGCATTTTGCTGCACTCCCCGATTTTGTTTTTATACTGCCGATGCTGAAAAAAGACTGATTGGGCTTTCCTGCAAATTTGCACAGTTCCTATCTAAAAAGGGCTTTGGTCTCTTAGTAGAGAAGCAACCCAGTGTCCATGGGCATTCGACAGTGATTCCAACATTATTGTCAGATTTCAGGCCTAACAACCATACCTTGGGGCACACCTGTGTTCAAAAAAATGATTGTTATCATAAATGAATATTGTCTATCACATAACCAGCAATTTTTTTTAATTCATAGAATTCTGTAGATTTTCATTTTGGATCACTGCTGAAAACAATTCCAAAATCCCCAGATTCCCTTTTGGCCTGGTTATCAGACAACAAACGGTGAGCACACATTAGCAGGTGCTGGATGAGCGGCCCGACTTCAACACGCCACGGAGCGTAGAACAAACACTGATTTGTAACATGAACCTTCTTTATTCAAGTTGAGCTGATATCAACCTTTTTCTGAGAGCTCCAGTGACGCATTGAAGCGTCAACCAATCATATGGTTTGTTTTTAGCTGCTGTTCTGTGTTATTTAGCTTCTAATGGCTGATGCTATGCTAGCTGTCTGTGTAGTGCCAGGCCGGCAGATAACTACTTGTAAAAACATTCAGCTGGCATGACCACAGTGGAGGGTAGGTCAACGAGGTGACGTGTGCTTTATGATCTCTGTGTTTACTACACGCACGAGTGTCTGTATCCAGCCAGCGGGAACTAGGTCAGTCTAAATATAGCCTTCACACACACACGCAAACACACACACTGGTGAGCTGAAGTGGTGATGTCATTGTTGCCATGGTGTCTTTGACCCCGGGGCGGCCGCTCATCCTCACTCTGACATGTCAGGCATCAGTCGAGCTCGCCCTCTCACTGAGCTGCCGTCACTGTGAAACAGTAATCCATTAAAATAACATTAACTGTTCCTTCATTTACCTCTGGAAATACCAAATGTCCCTTTGATTTTTAATCTTTTCATTTAATTTGTCTAGTAATGTGAAAAAATAATAAATAAATCCCTTAAAAACATCTGAATTTAAAAAGTCCCTTATTTACCAAATAAATAAAATAGAAAATAAAATGACTTTCCCCTTAATTTACACATTTAATTATCAACTATATAAGGTGTTTTAGATGTTATAGACCCACAGAGGATTTTCAAAACCTTTAAAAACCTTGATAACATTTTAATATTCAGAGCCCTTAATTATCAAAGTAGATCTATTTTTAAGAAATACAGGAATATTTCTTCTCTGTTTCGTCTCTGTGTCCTAAAATCTGCCTCAACACCAGCTCAACCCATTAATTAACTGATATTTAACTGACTATAATAATATATATTAAAGTTTTATTTTTGCAGATTATCTGAGGGATTTAAGGGGTTAAAATAACCTTAAGATAGACCAAAAACCATTAAAGCCATCCCTGAGTTTATATAAATTATAAATTATATATAACTTTTTATCACTTAAAACCCCTTAAAATGTTTAGATGATCTATTAAAACACTACAATGTCTTATTTCACATTAATGTATTCATTTATTACCCCCTAAGATCTCATTAATTACATTTAATAATTATGTTATTAAGAATTTTAGAATAGAAAATTAAGGGTTCAATTTCTTAGTGTTCTTTTTATGGCAAAGAAATGCAGTGAAATTCCCTTTAATGTACCTCTTACTGAAGGAAAGGAAGTGTGCTGTGTGTGTGTGTCACCCATTATTACTGCCAAATATCCAGTTGATTTTATACAAAACTAAAGGTTATATAAGTGTTTTATAATTAGTGGTAATTTTCTCAGTGTTCATCCATCAGGAGATAAAGCCCTCCTCCTCCTCGCAGCCTCCATCACAAAGACAAGTGTTGTTTCCTCATCACCAGCGTGCAGACTTTAAATGGTCGTCTCTCTCTGTGGGACAAAAGAGCCTATTTATCGACTGCAGAGTTCAACAACATGAAGTTGGTCGTCTTTAAACAAATGTGGCGTTAATGGTGTTTGTGATACGTTGGGACTGACCTTCACTGAGAGCAGTGAAAAGAGAACGCCCCACGTTGCTTCACCCTGAAGGTGCCATTTGTCTTTTTTATTTTATTATAGTACCTTTTCAAACTCAAAGTTCCAAATGCAGAGATTTTGGCTTTTGTTGTAGTTTTGTTCTTCTGTGCATTACAGTGAAATAGCAGCATCATAAGCAGTCACTCACTCAGCAGTAGCTGTGATTAGAAAACAATCTTATTGCAGGGGCGACATAAAAAACTTTGCACCTTGAAGTGGTTTAGTTTAGTTAGTTAAGTGTATTTACTTTATTAATCCCCCTGAGGGGAAATTCCGAAAGACACATACATGCACAAACAGGACCTATACATGCACAAAGTGGAGAGATGTCAGAGGGGGCTGCCCTTGGTGAGGCGCCCCGAGCGGTTGGGGGGTTCTGTGCCTTGCTCAGGGGCACCTCGGCAGTGCCCAGGAGGTGAACTGGCACCTCTCCAGCCACCAGTTCACGCTCCATATTTTGGAGGACGGGGACTCGAACAGGCGACCTCCGGTTCCCAACCCAAGTCCCTATGGACTGAGCTACTGCCACCCCACCAGTGAAAGGGGTCTCAGAGAGCCTCCGATATTTTTTATACATAATTAAGTTTTTTACTGATTTATTCAGCCAAGGCAAATATGGTAATGATTACGTAGAAATAGAAAATTGTTAACAAAAAATTTTTTTTAGATATTTTAGATTTTTGAGGACCTCCAACCCACTGGAGCCTTTAGCAATCAGTCTTACTTTTTCTCCCAGTGTGACGCCACTGCACAGGACAGCCACTCTACAGACATATGCTGATCTTATAGACCATGATGCATTGCTGTAGATTAAACTCCCCAACAGGATATAAAGGAGTTCAAATGAGCTCAACCTGAAACATTTACAGCAGTAAAATGACACATACACATTAATGCAGCAGGAATATTAATCCAAAAACATCAGATAGAATAAAACACTGACAGCAGGTAACACTTTACTGCACTATCAGTCATTTTACACATACTTATAATAAATGTTCCTGATCAAACTTTTACTGAGGGAAGGATTTGAAGAGAGGATTTTTACCTGTAGTGGAGTATTGTCACAGTGTGGTATTAGTACTTTGACTTCAGTAAAGGATCTGAATACTTCCTCCACCTCTCCCTCTTGGTGACGGCCCACTGAGAGGTGGAGCAACAGTGAAAGAGTAGAGCTTCACAGTCACATGACCTGAAGTGAAAGTGAAAGTGTGTGTGAGTGACAGCATAGCTGCAGTGGAGACGAGTCTCTCTGTTTCTCTGGAAAGAAACATTCAACTGAATCCAACAGGTTTTTCTCAACAACAAACACTGGTGAGTTCACTGTCCTACAGAGACAAAATACACTAAATATTTGCTCAAAGTTTAGTTCAAACCACAATCTGACTGTTTTACATCTGTTTTACCTTATAAAGAATATTATCTGACTGTTTTACATCTGTTTTACCTTATAAAGAATATTATACCATAGAAATGTGTCAGTTTAGATAAAAACAACATGTGAATTTAGCCAGAAATACAAAACAGAGGTAAAAACCAAAGCACAGTGACTGAACTACAGTCACAGCTAGCGTTAGCTTCAAGCTCATTTACAGGCCTGTT